GCTAATTTTTCGAGAAATGTTCTCCTTGGATTTCTGCTATTTTTCCCTTTCTTTTTTTTTTTTTTTTTTTTCTGTCGAACAGAATTTTTCGCTAAGAATCTTCTTGTTCTAGAATTTTATTTAGGAGGGCTAATTTTGAAAATGATCTCTCAATCCAATCTCGCTGGATTCTTGTCTTTGTTATTAAATGGAATTTCCCAGGGGAAATATAATTTTTGAAGAAGTCTCTCTCTCTATATTCAGGACAGTCTTTTCATTGGAAATAGATTTTCTTGGTATTTTTCTCTTTTTATGATCTTTTTGTTTATTTAAATATTTATTTATGTAAAAGAATATCTGGAATTTAACGAAGTATCAAATCAACAAAATTTTCTATTGGTTCGTTCATTTTCTGTAGAAAGAAAACATTTCAAATATCAGATTACAGGACAATTCTCTTTTTATCAATTCAAATTCAAATTATCAGTAGCAGAACAATTGAAGTCAAGTATCAACTAGAAAATTCAATCTTCTCGAGACCAAAAAGTAATTTCTATTTCTTAAAAGGATACTTATTTCTATCAATTGCTAATAATGTAGACAATAATTCTTCTAAAACTCAGAGCCAATTAAAAAAAAGAAGGTATTTGAACCGATACTAGGAATTTCTCTGGCCAATTATAATTATTCACCAAATCCAACTAAACTAAACTAAAAATAAACAGCACACTTTACAAATAAAAATGAAAAATAAGAATAAAATCTCTCTGTCTATTAGAAAAAGACACTGTTAAAAATTCACACTCGGTGATACGTTGAAGTTTTGAGTCTTCTTCGTTCGCGGCTTATTCGTTTCCGGTCGATCGAGGAGGCGCATTGTGCGCGGCACGGGCACGATTTCGCTTCTGGATCTCTTCGATCAGCGTCGAAACCGCGAGGTTCACTGTTTTCCTCTCCTACTACTTGCCAGGTGGATCTCTTCGAAGACAAGTGAAACCAAAGACTTTCACGCCTGCGCTACCCCACCTTCTTTCGAATATCTGGTGCATCGTCTTGTTGCGCTTGTAACTGCACACACGATTGTATAGATGTCTACGAAAAATTCCGTAGACTTTTTCGTCTACGAAATTTTTCGAATTAATTAACGTATATCAGTAAGTTTCACATCTTGTAAGAACCTTTTCCCAGCAACGTAAATTGTTGGTAACTTCTAAATTTTATTCTTTATAAAAATATTCCATCATATTGTTAGAAATTTTCTCTGGTGAGCCAATTTTGTTTCACTACTCTAACTATGGTTTGGCTCGATTTACTTTTCATTTCATTTCTACATCTTCTTTTTTTTTGTCGCAACATGAGCAAAGTTTGTGTTTTGGAAAAGTAACACAAGAAAATGGACCAGTACTTCAGAAAAGGATCAAAGAAAAATGCCGAGACCTAAGAAAGAAATAACAAGGCTCCTTCGGTGGCTCGTTATTTCTTTGGACAACGAGCCAAACTTCCCATGCGTGCCGCACGATTGCGCAATGGACTTTCATCGGCCTTTTTGTAGTAACGATCGTCAACTCGATTCGTTTAATTGTACGAAGCACAGGTGAACAACAGAGAGACCTGTCTGCCAATTCCTCGGACGGGTCAATTAAATTGCGCTACCCGGCGCGCGTTTCTGTGAAAAACTTGGCGCGGAAACGTGCTTCAGCCAAAACGTGATTGACAAGAAATTATGTAATCACACGACGATGGAATTGGAATTGAACCAACGAGAATTTCATAATATCATTTATAGGATATATTGCTCGACTAATTTACGTTACACACAGATTTGATGGAAAACTTCGTTCTCACGATTTAGTGAGATTTAATGGTTGCGAGTGGACTGAGGTTGGACTTTACTTTTTTGTCCAAAAATGTACAGTTTTGTGAAAGTAATTAGAACAGCGAGACTATTGCAACAACTATTTTAGACAGTCCGTTTTGATTTCTTCGGAACGCAATCCAACTGTGAACAATATTGCAGATCTGTCTGGAGATAATTTAGAAACAATCAGGTAGAATTTCGCAAAATGTAAACGCACGATAATACTGATATTTTGAAAATTATTCTCTTATAGAATTCCTCTTCAATATCTATAAAATATTAAACGATATGATTTAATTGCTTCTAAAATAAATAACTATTTAATGTGTTTTATTATTAATAATTTGTACTAAAAGGGCACAAATACCGTTTTCGATTTGATTATCTGCAGCTGTGATAGCTCGAAATTCTAGATATCAAAAGTTCGAATCAATATTTCGGTA